AAAATGGGTCTCCCTAGTAGCTATTCGTAGCTTGTAAACAGGGGCCCAGACATCAAATAACATACATAAATTATGAAAACAATTTCCTATTTCTACCTAATTCTAACCTAACCCCAAGCATCCTAAGATTATTCCATAGATACTAAGAGCACAGAATTTCAATACAATACAACACATCAGGTATTGGTACATGAAAATAAAGTACAAGGACTCAAGCATACATACAAGTGAGAGGTTTTCATAATTTAAATCCTCAGTCATACAGGGTTTGGAATTTAACATATTTTAATAGCAACTGTTGTTTGAATCTCTTTTTAAAAATAGACAGAGATGCTGACTCTTTTATAGTGCTGTCAACCTCGTACCAAGTCTGTTGACCTTTACAGGTTACACTAAAACATGCACATTTCAGTTTCGGTTTCTTACCCTTTAAAAGTTGTTTCCCCCTTGTGTTGTGTTCATGAGTGGGTAAATAAATTGTCATTGAGTCTAAATGCTACATTATACATTACACAGGCATTGTGGAAAGTGTTGCACTCAGTTTCAGAAGTTTGTAACTATGAAAAGAGGATCAGAGGGATTTAACTTGGTCCATGATATAACTCTTATAATTTTTTTTTGTAAGATCTGTAATTTCTCGAGATAGCTGGGATATGTGTTACACCAGATAATGTTACAGTAGTTTAAATGAAGCTCAAATAGAGACAGATACAAGGTTAGAAGAGCTTCAAGAGGAAGAAGGTGTCTCAACTTAAAGAATAAGCTGACATATTTAGATAATTTCTTTGTCAGTTCATCAGTATGCTTCCTAAAGTTTAAAAATTCATCAATGTACTGTATATTCCCAGAAATTTATTGAATTCTACCTATCTAAATATAGATATCAGTATTGGCCCAGAATTTCATAATAGGTGTATCCTTAGTTATTAGGATTGTCCTCTGTAGCTTCAGCCATACTCCTAGCTGCTGCCTAATTGCTATGGTCCCTACCTGCTATCTTTTCGCTCTGGCTGGTTGACATTAAACGCATCACCCATGGTGCGCTAGTGCAGGAAGGTTGGCACTAACACCAAACACCACAACTCCGGTCTACTGTGAAATCCAGAGAGCTTCCCTAACAGTGTAAGGCTTTATTGGCATTGTGTGGCATTTATCGACATGTAAAAGTCCTGCACTTCAGCTTCAAGGGTTGAGTTAGGGTTAGACAGGTAGTGGTCAGGGTTTGGTTGAGTCTCCAGGAAATGAATGTGACTCAATGTAATGTCCTCTGAAGTGATGGAAACATGACTGTGTGTGTGTGTGTGTGTGTGTGTGTGTGTCTGGGTGTGTGTATGTTATAAGTGAGACCGAATGCAGCGATGAAACATCATCTCTGAGTTGTTTTTCATTCAGTGTGACATTAATGAATGAAGATAGATGTGTGTTTGCTTTTGTAAAGGGTGAATGGAGAGCAGAGGATGCTGTCGCTCACCCACCTCCCCCCCTCACTGTCTCTTTTTCACTTGTGCTCGAGCTTTGAAGAGACTCTTCAGAGCTCTCAGACAGCACCATGCAGCTTCACTGAGTTCACACGAGGTTGGAGGTTTATTTTTTGCTGGGAAACTGTACAGTCTGAGATACGAGCCAAACACAGGGAGTGATATTATTCACATTAATGGTATAAATATCTTTTTCAACATGGTGTTGGAGTGCAGTGCCGAGTGTGTAGTGACACAATTATTAACTTGCATTTTTATAGATGTTTGACATGTTTCCCTTCTTGTTTCCTGACAAAAGACATTGAATCATTGAGGAGCATAGAACAATACATGAAAACATCTTCCTCAACAGGAGTCATTACCTCAAAGCACTGATGGTTCATAATTCACACAGAAAGACAGTTAATTCTTCACTATGATTTCTCACATTCACATTTTTAAAGACTTGACTTTTCTCTAATCTGTTCACTGATGAATGGGGATGTTTTTGCCTCTTTGTCTCGTCACAGTCATGAGAAATGTTCTGTTTTGCCATGTCATTCGTTTGTTAGCAGAATCCCCCAAATGTATCGTCCTTCAATATACAAAAAGTTGTGCAAACCATGGATATGTTGCATTTTTATTACGTAGCAGATATGATGAAACTTTTCTACAAAGCTGTGCTGAACGTGTGGTTGTGTTTAGGCACAGAAAGTCTTGAATATGGTCAGGAGACATAAAGTTTTGGCCTGAAATACATTTTTACTTTTTATTTATGAACATTTTTTTACATTATAAAGGCAATTAGCACAGAAACAAAATAAATAGGGCGCAATACACACAGGGGAAAAAGAAGGAAAAGATAAGGTCATACAGTACATACATACAGTAATCATGTGAGATCTGTCTCATTGGCTCAATGGATGAAACAAACAACCATAACAGGGCACAGCAATATAACAACTACCTACTGCTGCTTGATTGTGTCAGGTAAGCGTTTGTTTGCTAGATTGTGTGTGAGGTGGATCATCGCTGTTCTTCTTGATAGTTATAGTCTACTGTGTGTGACGTAGCAACAACACAGACAGTTCATATGCAAGACAGAAAGTGTGTTTCCATTAACCCTAGAAATGCGCAAAACCTAAATATCGCAATAAAAAACTTGTAATGGAAACACCTACATTTCGAAAAAACTCTCAAATATCGAAAAAAAATTTAAACGCTCCCATGAGGTGGTTTTTCAGACGTGTCGATATAGAAGTATATCGCAAAAATGTAATGGAAACATTTTTTTCACAAATATGCGTCACCGGACATTCAAGTCCTCTGTGAATTCCTCTTTCACGATCCTCTCCCAGAAATCCTTTATCCGTGGTCGCTGCCACACATAAGGACTTTGCCTTTGGAATACCACTCGCTCTATTCGCCTTCGGTTGTAGACTACTGCAACAGCAGCAGCGGCAACTGAGATGATTGTTCCAATGGAGTTTCATAGGACGAGATTTTATTACGGCTCATACGCAAAACACCTTTTAATGGAAACACCTGCAAGTCGCAATTGTACTTTGTCAAAACTTTAAAAATATTGCATTTATTTTGTGCAAAACTGTAATGGAAACGCGACTAATGATAACCTGGACAAAGTGTCTCTCCATTACAGCCAAAAAGATTAACAGCCTAAATAAATAAAAATATTTAAAACACTTTCCAGCACTAGATTCATTTGAAAGGCTGACAGATTGAAAACGACTTCTTTACTCCGCCCACTGATATTTTTAATTGTTACAAACCTATTTGATCCTTTAATAGTCGTGTTATAGTTTAGTGACCTGTGTTGCAAACCTTTAATCCTCTGTAGCTCCAGTGATCTGTGCAAAACGTTAACGTACAGCCCTGCTGTTTATTTGATATCATTTTTCCTTTACATGTTGTGCAGCTGTATATTTTCAAAGAGGGAAAAAATCCCTGTCTTTGCATTTTATTTTGATCACAGTCTGCTTTTATAAAAGTGCTTGTGACATCTCAAATGTGGCTCTGACTTGCAGCTGAAATCGTGTAGCCCATTTCAGAGAAAATACTGAGATACATGTTGTGTATCTATGCCTGTAAATACCAAGGTATGATTTTTTGTCCATATTGCCCAGACCTAATCTGTAATAACAGGACAAGTGCTCTTGGGTAATCAGTGTGATTGGCTGTCCTTCCACTTCTGTTCATTTATGTTGTTCATTGTGCAATGCCTTCCCTCGATGACACATCCTCAATTACAGTGGTTCAGCTCAAAGCTGGTGGAATGAGGGCTGGTTCAGCCGATAGCACCGAGGTTCCAAGAATCCTAAATGGAACCAGTTCAAGAGCCAGAGGTAATTTGGTGGGGAAGGAGGAGTGATAATGTTGTGTACGGATTTTAAATTTGGGGAAAATAAGGAACGCTGCTGTCACACTGATACTCTGTATCAGCAGACATCCTGAATTGAAGATCAGAAAAAGTATGTTTTCTCCTTAATGTGGGATGAGCAGAATGTAGGGCAGCAAGCGACTTATGTTCAGACACTACTGCAGCACTACTGATTTGTTTGGTGACAGGTGAATCATTGTCACACCGGCACATCATTGATTTGTTTGCAACCACTAAAGTTTCAGGAATCAATAACAGACAAGCTGACGAGTTCAGATTCTTATTAGATGTGTGCCTCTGTCATTCTCTTCATGTGAAGCACCAGAGTCCTGATGGGTTTTTATACATTAGCATGTTCTGTGCTGACATCACTGTCAGACTTCTGGGTGGAGAAACTTGCGTCCTGGTTTGAATGTATTCAGTATCTGAAGGAGGCCGTTGCTTGGCGGCGGAGCAGATCCCCGAGGCCAACAACTACTGAGGGACACTGTGTGGCTCCCACTCCAAATCTGTTTCTGCTTTTGCCAAGTGGCTCTGCGTCAGTGCAAAAACCACAAGACAAATTTGGCTTATTTGTGTTGTTTCTGTGGGCCTGGAGGCTTTGGAGGATCCTGTTAGAGGAGCTTAGGCTGGCAGAGTCAGAGTCATCTTTTAAATCATTTCTTACAGACAAGCCTTTATGTAATTTGTTTTTACAAGATTCTTTTACTCGTCTCTGCCTGTTTATTATTCCGTTTTTTATTATTCCGTTTTTTAATGTCCTTAAATCCACATGTATCAAGTTTCTTAATTTACTAAGTCGAAGTTCCACTTTGCTGCAAACAGTCTTAAACGTCGTTGCTGTTTTAGTTATATTATGTACTATTGTATATACTGTTTGTATATGGAGCCCTACAAATGTTATGTTTTCTTAAAAAAAAGTCGATAAATACTTGAAACGGCAGCGTAGACTTATTTCTCGACAGTGGCTGATTCTTTTCACTTTTTTTTTAAAGGAAAATTAGTAATCAACAAAAGTGTCTTTATAACAATGATATTTTTGCAGTGAAGATGTTTAAAAAAAATCATGCTATTGTCAGATGTCCAGATATTTGATTATAGTCCGTCTTTCTAATACTAATACCATTGCTTTTTCTCCCCCACAGGAGAGACTGGTTTTATCGGTCCTGCCACGTTTTGTAGTTTTGGAAATGATCAACGACATGACAAATGTAGAGGACGAACACCTCCAGCATCAGTTTCACAGAATCTACATCCACCGCTATGAGAATGTCAGGTGAGGCCACCAGTTTGTTCACCTAATTTAATCATCCAGCCAACCTTTGCGGTGACGAGTCTGAAGCGTCAGCAGCAAATTAATGGATGCTGCAGTGGTCAAGTGTGGCAGTGTGTTTGTGTAAGCTTTCAAAGTCTCCCAGTTGTTTTAAAAGTGAACACAAGACAAGTTGTCTTTCTGAAAAGTTAGGGCCCGTCCCAATACCCCCCCTTAGCCCTACCCCTTGGCCCTACCCCTACATTTGCGCGTTCCTGCGAGGGGTAGTGGTGTCCCAATTCCTTTTTGCGTGTAGGGGTAGGGGTCATAACGAGGGGTAGTGGGTATGAAACTAGCCCTTCGGAGCGAGGGATTTCAGATGCTGACTTGCCAGCGAGGGGTAGACGTCGCCATGGCTACCACCGAGCAAGAGACAGGGAAAAAGTTCATACATAGCTAACGCTACTGTCGTCAGGTTGCTTGTTAGCTAGTTAGCTAGCTCGCACTATCTGGCGTCTGTCATCTGTCCTGTTCTGCAGTATTGTCAGATTTTTCACATTACGATAACACGCCAGCTAGTATAACTATGCTGCCTCGTAATGTTAGCTGGTTAGCTAGCTAGCTAGCTAGCAGAAGTCCCCTGTCGTCTGTCCTTCATCAAACGAAGCATGATGAATATGGCAAACGCGTTCGGTAGGATGAACTCAACTGGAGACTCCATTGTAGATGCCGGTTGGAAATGTAGATGGCTCGCAGCTTCCTGTTTAAAATAGTTACGTATGCGTGAACGTAACCGAAGCGGTGACGTAGTGAGTGGTGTCCCCATTCCTAGGAAAAGATTTCAACCCCTACCCCTCGATGCTTCATTTCGAGGGACAAGGGGTAGTGGGCAAGGGGGGGTATTGGGATTGGGCCTAAGTGTTCATATTATATATCTCGATTTAAGAACATACAAATAAAACAGGACTAGAGACAGGAATAGAAATAAAAAATATATTTTTGTCTCACCCACTGCCCGACCGCATATACTTCATTTTTACCTGTAAATTTTCATATACCCGTTTCACAGCTTTTTGCAGATTGAGCAGTAAGTAAGCAGTTCCATGGTGTGATCTCTAATATGGCTGCTGTCAAAAGATCTGTTGCAAAATCCAGTGAGCTTTTTTTTTTTTTAGAATTATTGGAGTAGTATGTTCCATGTTGTGGATAAAACTGTAATCTGATAGAGACTGCTGTGATATTAGACTGAACTTCCCTGCAGAACAGACAGATCAGATTTCCACATCCTCCAGACTGATTTTAGGTGTAACAAAAGTACAGTTTAAAGCCAAAAGTGTGTTGGAACAAAGTGTGTGAACAAGGTGAAGAGGTCTAATCAGATCATCCTGAATGAGTGAAAACACCTGTGTGAGTGAACTGGAGCCTCGATTAGTGTCACCTGTTCTCTTTCTGCTTTGACGAGCCAGACTGTCTCTTGTGAGAAGCTTTAGTCCAAAATCATATGGGATGTTTCTGCATATTTCATATTTTCCAAATAGTTACACATTTTAACCAAATTGTTTTCTTTACCTACATGCAGCTAACTCATAAATCAGCCCTAAATCAATCAGTAATTTTTGCTTTCTTTTCCCCAAAACTGGAACATAATCTTCATCTTAACGTGATTTGTGGCAACATCACACCTGAGTGAAGAGTTTTTGCTCTGCTTACACACTGTCATGAGATGATGTTGGCCAGCTGGTGTCCAGTAACACCTTGTGAAAATCAGCCTCCTGTTTAGCATCCAAGTCTGGTTTCTAGGAGGCTGTATACCCACAGCTCATCAGAGAGAAATCTGATCATGACTTTTGTTACTTAGTTTCCGACAGGCATACTTCAGCTTCAGTAACAGTAGAACTTGATAAACATCAGATCTGTTTACAGAGTCAAAGAGTCAAACTGATGCTGCTGTAAGTTCTATAATTTGTCTGGGAAACTTTCTAAAGCCTGCAGAGAAGTTTTTCATTAATGATGATGATCTGAGGTTACAGTTGGTGGTGTTTATTATCAGTCACTTAAAGGAATAACTCACCCCGAAAAAGTTTATTAGTGTGTCAGTTACTCACCCTGTGTTATGTTGAACTGATGAGGAAAGCTTTGATTTTCTCACATGCCTCCACGGTGAGTGAAGAATCCAATAGTGGAGAAAATTCTTGATGAACTGAAGTCATGGGGGTCCACAGTTAACACCAGCAAACTATATCAAAATGTTGATTTACAAACTCTCACACAGCTCTCATTCATCCAGTCCTGTGTTCAGTACACAATGATGCAAACAAAGTAACTGATGGAGGCAGCGGTAGACCAGCAGCTCCTGTGTTCAATACGGTAAAATTACTATCTTTGTAAATGGAGTCTGGCTTTTTACTTCAGTTTCCACCCAGAACCAGCTGTCTGTTTGTGAAGTACTGAGCATACGACTGGAGGAATAATACTTGGATTATACTGCATGAGTTGTGTGAGAATTTGTTTTGGACAAACTGATTAGTTTTTTCACGAACTCAACATAACTAGGAGTGAGTAATTGATATACAGGTGATAGTTTGAGAGGGGAAGTATTCCTTTAAGTGCTCTGAACTTTGCATACTGATACCAACTGACTTGTTTGGAGGGAAAGATTCACATATCCTCATGTCAAACTGTAAAAAAAAAAAAAAAAAGGACTTCACTTAAACTTTACTTAGCTTATATGTATAAATAGCATTAAATATTATTCATGGTGTTAAAGTACTGACCTGGATATTAAAGTGACATTTCCATATTTTATTCAGCATTCTTTTCGCAGATGTTAAAGGCTTCACAAACCTCTCCACAACGCTGTCAGCACAGGAGCTGGTGCGAATGTTGAATGAACTCTTTGCACGCTTTGATCGCCTCGCACACGTAAGTGATTTAACTTTTGACTTCAGATGTATGTGTAAGTGTTCATGCTTGGAGCATACTGAGTGTACGGACCAACGAGTCCTCACACTGAAATAATCCAGTACTTTGTCAGTGGAAAATCACCATGGTTGCTCCAAAAATGATGCTTATGAGCATTTTCTGATCTGACACATTTCTGGTGAGGGTCTGATTAAAATGAGGTTGTAATGTTTGGGAAAGATCATGGTTAAAAGAAAAGAACCATCGGTCTCCGATGGTTCATCAGTTATGGAAAGATCGGCAGCTTGATTTGACAGAAATGAAGGGTTGTTCAAAAGTGCATTTTTAATTTGTGCACTTTCCAGGAAATACGTTGCCCACTCAAAAAAGATTCTAGGTGGAGTATCACTTGAGAGTTACAACATGTAGCATTTGCTGTTCTTGCAGAGCAAATAGAGCTGTTGGTGGAAGAAACGGAGCATTATATTTCTACATGAATGAACCAACGGTTAAGTTAATCACATGTTCACTCCGCTCGATGCTCTGCTGCTCCGTCTCCACAGACAGTGTCCAGAGTGCGCTCTGCTACTCTGAGAGTGCACTGCTCTGGATAACCCAACGCTACATTCAGACAGTGCTCCCAATTTATGAACACTCCAGTTTGTGTCAAAGTGCGCGCTGGCACTTGGAATGACTATTTCTAAATGCACCACTAGAATCATCTTCCTCCATTGTCTGTGGAGAATTGTATTGCCTCCAGCTAAGCCCCGCCCACCAAAATATTTACTGTTTACTAACAGTAAAAGGGTCTATTTCATTTTATTTTCTCTCTTATTCTGTCTTTTATGTGTATTTTCTCATTTTAATATGTAAAGCTCTTTGAGTGTATGGAGTGTGCTTTACAAATAAAGTTATTATTATTATGAAAGTTATTACATTGTGTCTACAAAATTTACACTTTTTAAATTTTTCGTTTTCCACGTCTCACAGAAAAATAAGTCTTTAAAATACTTTAAAACCCAGATGCTGCCTTGTTGATTTTTTGTTGCCCCGCTTTTCAGTGACAATCTGTCAGGCCTGCCAAAGCTCATAAAAACTAAAAAAAGAAACCCCGGTACTCGGGTAAATAATTTATTCACAACAACAGAGCGAATAATTGATTCAGCGTTCACTCTGTATGTTTGTCTGATACTAGACTGAAGAGCATTTCAGACTGTCATGCTCGGCCGGACAGGATTTCACAGTTAATGCAGAACCAACCTGATGTGGAAATAGTTTTCACCGCTTTATTTAGTTTCATTTGCCTCTTATATTTCTCTGCATTTCTGTTTTACATCACGTGTTGTATTTTACTGCTTATTTTCTTCTGTTTTTAGGTTTAATTATTTTTTTTCACTATGAAATGTGTATTCTGATAGTTGCTGCTATAGAAAGAGTGTCCCTTGTTTGTCTATGACCTGATGTGATTGGTCTGTTGCAGGAGAACCACTGTCTACGAATAAAGATCCTGGGAGACTGTTACTACTGTGTGTCTGGTCTACCTGAGCCCAGGCAGGACCACGCCCACTGCTGTGTGGAGATGGGCCTCAGCATGATCAAAACCATCAGGTACTGTCTGCGTCCATAGTGTTGTCATTATGGAGACTCTGCTCTGTCCGACAATTTGCTGCAGATTCAAACTGAAATATGTTGACGACTGTTGGATTTCCATCAGATTTGTTTCTCACAGGATGACTTCTCTTGATTTTTCATCTAGTGATGAGTGTGCCTGTCAGACTGTTTTATGTTCTCCTGCCTGTTGATGGGATAAAAACCATTAATCCTTTGGCTTTCTTGGCTCAGGTTTCACTCCTTGTTTGCAGGATTTAAGGCATTGACTGAAATAAGCCAATACCAAATAGTATCAAAACTCCTCCTGTCCCTTGATACCTGCCTTTGATCATTTTTGTACTCAAATCTAGAACAACAAGACTATTTGTATGGTTTTGCCCGTAGCTAATCACAGCTGGCGTTCCTCAGGGATGAGATGCAGCTATCAATTCTTTCTGTACCCAGAGCTAGGAAATAATGACCATTTGTATGGTTTTGTTCTGCAGCCAATCACTGCAAGCGTTCTTCGATTTAATGCAATTGCCCAATGAGGTAATGAGCCATCATGTGATTGGCCCACTACTGCTGCAGCTACAACTTGAAATTTATAAAATTCTTTTCTTGTCTTAAAGTACCTTTATTTCCTCCATTAGCTGTATGTCACAGCCACTGCTGCTCCAGCTGCTGACCGTGTTGAAATGACGGCCGCATCAGCAGCCAAAGTACAATAACTAACTTCCTGTTGTCCCTGTCGTATGCACCACCGTCAACAATCACTCCCCACTTACCCAGTTTATAAAACATGGTACAACTTTGCTTTTTGGCATGCGATTTATAATTTTTGAAGCCCAAAATTACATTATTATTAATATTATTTTGTGTAGATAAAGCTGCAGTTTCTTACCACAAATATGTTGAATCAGAGAAGCAGGAGCCCTGTGCTGTTTTCCTGCAACTTGCAGAAAATCGGCTTGAAAAATAAAATAAATGTCTTTTACCTCTGAGGTATTGGACAGCGGTGCTCTTATCTGTACATTTCTTTTATCTCATTTCTCACAGCGCTGGGTATGTCAGCTCTGTGATCTGAGAGCAGCTTCCCCTGCAATATTTGCATTTGCAAGAATTTGCCCCCGGCTGTGTTTCTACAGAATATCGCTGACAAATAATGAATACAATTACAAGGTTCAACCATATCACACATCCATGCATCACTGAGACTGGAGAAATATTTTATTCAGTGATGGTATCATACTTTAGAAATTACACAACAGGGATTTACAGATCTCATAAGCTCATGAACCGACTGTGTAATCTTTAGTTCATGTGAGAGAGGAGGTGTGCGGCAGAAATCAAGCTTCCAATCACTCACTTACAACACACTGTCACTCTGCAGTGACTTGTGAAAGGGCTCGCTGACCCTGGTGTTTGTGCTTTTAAAGCCTGAGGCATTTTCATTTCGATTATCTTCTTTGTCGCTGCAGCATTTTGGCCCTGCTGCATCACTTTCAGTATGACAGCGAGGGAGGAGAGGAGGGCTGGTGTTTAGAGGAAAAAAGAGGGATTAGTGATGGATAAACTGTGAGATTTGTACTGTATACTGTTAAGTCAATATGGTGAGCTGCTTACAGTCGACCACTTTGTGCAGCAGAAGTGCAGCTTGGTACATGTTGCTGTCGCTGTATGTGTGCTGAAACATTGATTAAAAGAACTAAAAATAAAAAGGTTGCAACAGACGATGCATGACTTCATGTCTTGGGGGCAGCAGGCTGAGCCAAGTATTCCAGACGTCCCTCTCCCCAGCAACGCTTTGCAGCTCCTCCTGGGGGATTCCGAGGCGTTACCAGGCCAAACGAGATATGTAATCCCTCCAGTGTGCTCTTGATCTGCCCTGAGGCCTCCTACCAGTAGAACATGCCTGGAACATCTCTAACAGGAGGGGCCCAGGAGGATCCGGATCAGACGCCTGAACCACCTCAACTGACCCCTTTGACGTGAAGGAGCAGTGGCTGTACTCTGAGTTCCCTCTGGATGTCCAAGCCCCTCCCCCTGTCTCTAAGGCTGAGCCCAGCCACCCTTCGGGGAAACTCATTTCGGCTGCTTGTGTCCCATATCTCATTCTGTCAGTCACTACCCAAAGCTAATGACCATAGGTGAGGGTTGGGACGTAGATGGGCCAGTAAAAGCTTTGCCTTTTGGCTCAGTGCCCGCATCACTGCGCCAAACTGCCGATCTATCTTATGATCCATTCTACCTTCAGCTACCATCATGAACTCTGGGTAATGACCCCAGGATACTTGAACTCCCTCGCTTGGGGCAATAACTCACTCCCAACGAAGTGGAAAATCTCTAATCCAAACACAAGTGGTCAATCAAGATGCTGCGCCGTTCACACCTGTGTTTATCATGCATCTCCAGCTCACCCCTTGTGTTCAGATGTGCTTACTGCCTACTTCACTTCTGCTAGAATATTTAAGGGCCCCATGCATAGTTATCACACCCTCACTGGTACCAGTCACGTCAGTGGTTGTGTCAGTACAGCTGGAGATATCATTGTCTGCGGAATTCAACACATATTCCATAGTGAAAAACAAAGGACAGTCCAATTCAAGGCAGAGCTTTGGTGCGCTGTCACCAAAACAACCACCACATCTTGCATTGATTTTCTGTAGCAGCCTTGTTGTCAGAAACGCATCAGCACACATTAGCATTTACATTAGCACTACAAAAGATATGTGCTCAAATGCGTCCAAGGCTACCAGTGTTGGGCAGTAACACAGTAACAGTAGTAATGTTACTTTTTCCAGTAACGAGTAGTGTAATTAATTACCTATAAAATTTCAGTAAAAATATTAGTTACTCCAAAGCCAAACAACGTAACTTTTGTTATCACGTTATCCCATTACTTTGATTTTGTCAGGAGGAAAGATGACAAAAAACACTGTTGCTGCAGGTAGTCAGACTAAAACTCTTTCCACTGTGAAACACATGTCCTCAAAGCTCCAGTCTGAAACACCTCAGCTACTACGACGACAGAACAACAACTTGAAGCTCCAGGAAATGCACCCCACCAAGGGTGAGCCCTCCTCAGCCGTGGAGGTCAGCTGTAGTGGTTCACAGACTTAACAACCAAAACTAGATTTTAATCGTGGGCAGCTGCAGCTACAAAGAAGTAATGAAGCTTGTGGGTTGATAAGTGGTGGATGAAATGTTGCTCCAAATACCAATTTTGTGGGGTGTACGAAATACTCTTGGCAGGGAGTAACAAGTAGATTAATGTTACTACTTTAGAAAATGGTAATGAGTAATATATTTCATTTTTAGAGTAATAAGCCCAACACTGCAGGCCACCTCTGCAGGTGGTTTGAATAATCAGATCACAGTACATCTTGGTCACTTTTATTTTCCACTGTCCACTTGTAATCTGATCGACCGAGATGCATTTTAGAACCGAGTGTAAACAGGGTCAGGTTTAGTTTTGTCTCCTTCTACTTCAGTGCAGGGCCTTGTCTCACGGCTCCCTGGACAGAATACGAGGTTACTCTGCTCTGACCACTAAAACAAAATCAGATCAGATGAGTTGAGGTTAAAAGCTATATTTTCAGTCACTCAGTCTGTGTGCCGTTGTACATCTATCTATCTATATCTGCTGTCATCGTGGTGGAAAATCAACACAATTGAAAGGCCAGTGCCTTTGAACATGAACATTTTTGCTCCAGAGGTTTGTCTACTTCACCAAACACTTTGGTGTCAGAGTGACCCAGAACTTTCACACAGTTTTAGTATTGCGTAACAACATTTCATAATTCATATTACTCTTGTGTGACACTTACTGGTGCTCATGCATGCAGGTTAATATCTGCCCTCTTACCAATTTAATTACCTGAACTCAGTGAATATACTTGTTTTCCTCTATTTTCCTGATTTTTATTCTTTTGATGATGATGTTCGTGTTTACAAGAGGTCAGCTAATTACGACTGTGCATAACAACCTAACAAAGAGGTCTAGAGCCTCTCTTATCCACACCACAAATGCATATCAAGATGCAATGTTCCTATTGAAATCACTGCATCGAACACAATAACAGAGCAGGTGAGACATGCTGGACTGTTGTTTGTTATTGAATGATATGGATATAGAGCGATCCGTTGCAGAATTAAATCTCCAGCTCAGCATTTACACCCCAGATTATTCCGCTGTATGTTTACAGTTTGAGTGTGGGACTCAGTGAAAGCTGACAGAGCTGCAGACTGATGGATTTTATTGCGACAGTCTACGGATCATCTGTCATCTCTTAGTTGGTGGGTCGGCCCATCACTTTGGTCCAGACTGAAATTTCTCAACAGCTATTGGATGGATGGCATTGATATTTTGCAAACACATCTATGGACCCCAGATGATGGAACTTAATAACTTTGGTGATCCTTCGTATTCCTGTTGTAGGGATGAATAAGGTTATGTGTATTAAGGGTTATCATGTCCACCTCATCAGAAACTGGGGAGGGATTAAGAGGAATATTGGATTTCTCTGCAAAGCTAACTTTTTAGCACATTAGCTAACGTTAGATTCCATAGCAAAACAAACAAGTGTGGTCCTCCTTTGTAAGATTGGCTTCCTGTGACATCATCCATCCACTGAGTGAGAGCATACGGGTCGGCCAGACTGGTCCCGTTGGTCAGTGTTTACTTATTCAAGTAACACTGGCGGTCCCAGAGAGTGAGTGACCTGACATGGTGCGTTGGTAAATTCAGTCTGACGCTCTACACTAAAATGAGAGCCCTGTTGGTGGAAGAAACGAAGCGTTATATTTCTACATGAATGAACCAACGTTTAAGTTAGTCACACATTCACTCCGCTCGGAGCTCTGCTGCTCCGTCTCCACGGACAGAGTGTCCAGAGTGCGCTCTGCCACTCTAAGAGTGCGCTGCTCTGGATAACATACATTAAGACAGCGCTCCAAATTACCAAACGGTCCACTTTGTGCTGGAGTGCACTCTGAAGCTAGCAGTATAGTAGTAGTATAGTAATATTTCCAAATGCATCTTCTTGCATCATCTTCCTTCATTGTCAAGAACAAGCCAACAGAACTTGCTAGCTAATGTCTGTGGAGCATTGTTTTGCCTCCAGCTAAGCCCCACCCACCAAAAAACGTCACACTGTTTACTAACAGTAGCGCTTTTCTAGTCTTCTGACCACTCAGAGCACCTTTACACTATGTGTCACATCCACCCATTCCCACACACTGATGGAACAGCCATTGGGACCAATTTGGGGTTCAGTATTTTGCCTAAGGATACTTCAACATGCGGACTGGATCGAGGAGCCAGGGATCAAACCACCGATCTTCTCGTAGTAGTGCTGATCTTCGTGAGTTGGACTGTTTTAGCAGTGAGGCTCATTTACATAGAAAGGGGCCGATGGTGTGCCAGATATAGCCTTTGCACATTACCTGCTTTAAACACATGCAGCACAGGAGTACAAAGACGCTATTTGCTTTGCAGCTAGTTCCGGGTGCATCTGACCCCTCATGGGTTCATTGGTTTCTTTTGTCTTACTTGTGCAGGGTTGGTGGCCGCAAAGTCTACGAAATCCTTTCCTTATGAATGGGTCAATAAAGGTCAAACGAAGTTAATGCTTGTAAGGTGGATGCGACTGTGACGGCTCTGGTGGTCACATGGGTGAACCGGAGCATGGAGCTGACCTCTGACCTCCACAGGGAGGTGATGGACTTCCCTGCAGAGTCAATAAAGAATTATCATCGTCGTCATGAGTAACTGCAGTTTGTCTGAGTTCATTTCCAGCCCTGGGTGTCATTCAGCAGTCGACTGACTTTAAGCACCTGTCACAAACTCCCAGGATGCCTTTCACCTCACATTCATCACTGCTCTTATGAAGCATGAAATGAGGCCGGGAGGCAGGGATGGGCGTGACAGCGCCGTTTGCTCTTCACAGACTTTCATGAGCCGCAGTTTGTCCTGCTTTTATTGTGTTCGGGGATAATAAAGTATGAAATGAGAAACAAATTTATTAACGAGTGTGAAAAGTCTGCTGAAAATGTTTTTTACCTGTTTTTTTGGGCTCACTGATATGCGTGAAATGTATTGTGCTCATTTCTTGGTGAATTTATGGACAATGTTTGTCTGTCAGCGTTATCTGTGTTCTGTTTCGCCAAAGGTCAATTTCATGTTTATTAATTCTCTGAATTAATACACACAGACACTGGATTGTGCTCACTCACCTAAAGTTACCCCAGGCAGAGAGAGCATAGAGAACAGAATGCCGGACATCTGCCCCTAAAGCTTAAAGAAAAAAATGAAATATATACATTTATTTTAATTGTAGTTCATCATTTAATATTTATTTTCACAGGGCCCCTTTTATCAATTGAAAGATTCCATTTGGTTGCAAGACAATACCCTATTATCAGTAGTATTCAATTTAAAGGGCCACACCAGTGTCTTTGCATGTTTTATACATGTATTACTAATTGTAATTGATCAATCATAATGAAGCCGTAGCTCAGGTAGAGGGGGTTGGCTATTAATCAATGGGCTGGTGCTTCAGTGTTACCTCATCTCTCCCACAATGAACATAAATAACAGTGACAATAAAGTTTGCTGTTAGAGACATTGATTGATCCTTCTGATGGTTCCTTTTTAAAATCTGAGCAGGACTCATTGTGTCTCTTCCAGATATGTGAGATCACGTACGAAACACGACATCGACATGCGTATTGGGATCCACTCAGGCTCTGTGCTGTGTGGAGTTTTGGGACTCAGGAAGTGGCAGTTTGACGTCTGGTCCTGGGACGTGGACATCGCCAACAAACTGGAGTCTGGAGGGATCCCAGGGTGAGTAAAGCCAAAATCATCCTTATCTCAAGATTCCCTGAGGGGAATTTCTTGAAATTTGGCACCAATGTCCACTTGGACTCAACTTAAACTGATTAGATTTTGTTGGTCAAAGGTCACTGTGACCTTACAAATGTTGTATTTTTTTAATGTGTTATCCCAAGAACACCTAGACAAAATTTCTTAAAATTTGGCACAAACATCCATTTGGATTCAAGGATGAACTGATTAGATTTTGACTGATGCAATATCTTAAGAAGGCCTTAAGGGAATTGCTTTAAATTTGGCACAAACACCCACTTGGACTCAACAATCAAAGCTGACTGTGACCTCACAAAACATGTTTTTGGCCCTAACTCAATTTCCCACAAATGTCTAATGAAATAAGATAATGAAGTGATGACATTATATACTTAAAAGGTCAAAGGTCAGCTTCACTTCTGACATCATAACATTGTGCAAAAACACTTTTCTGGCCATTATTCGACATCATAATTCAGTAACAGAAAGGGAGACATTTGGTAAGATGTTGAATTGGTGACACTAATTTTGGGTGTCCACCTTGAACCTGTGCTGCTTGTATAGATCTTCTGTGCTGTCGGGTTGAAGATGAGTGTGAAGCATTCATGTTTTCACACACATGGATGTACACTGCAAATACAACATCACTTTATACAACCACAGAGCAGTAATTTTTGTTTTATACTCTAGGTTTTTGTTTTACAGTCCTATGTGGTGCTTTTTTGCCTTATATGGAAGATTTTCTTTTGGAAACGTTGGATTAAAAGTGTGTTGTTTTCATTAAAGACAGTAATGGGATGTTTTGCTGTCATCAGTTTAAAGTGCTTTTCTGCCAAATTCTATCTGCGTTTTCACTCTGACGATCCTGTTTGGCCTTGAGGCACAGGGTGGGATTAGTTCCCTAGCTGCTGGTTTTAAACATCCTGCCAGCATCTGTTGTTGAGCCACGCTGTAACCCTGTCCTGTGATCTTTACCGAACACAGTTGCGTAACACGGATGTATGAAGCCACAGTTTCTCTGCCACAGACAGAATATCTCTGAATGTGTCATGATGAGTGGGTCCATCTTATCCCTCACATCAGACACTCTAATAAGTGCCGGAACACGCTGGACCTGAACTTTAAGGTCATCCTCTGACCTGACACAGGATTGGATTCACACCAGCACATTTCACTGATTAGCAGCTCCTCTCTGGCTGAAGGTGTCTGAGTCAATAGAATCACGTGCACACTCTGTATCACTGTAACCCACCATCTGATAGGTATATTTGTGAAACTCCACTGAGGATTTTGTGAAATGAATCTGGGTGATTTTTGAGTGTTGTGTTTGTCTCCAACAACAACATCAAATCACCCAGAGGGAATATCCTGAAGAAAGTTTCTCCAGTAGACGCAAAGACTTGAGAACGACACAACATGGAGCACTGAAGCTGTTCCTGAGGCTTGTGGGGAAAATAACAAACTTTATGTGGGGGTTTAACTTTCATTTATCATCCAGCTGCACCTTGGCAGGTGCCCACAGAGACATCTTTCACTGCACATACCAACTGTTTGTACTGAGGACTGAACTGGAGGGGTTATGTCTCCATGTCAGTGTTCCAAATGGGGGAAAAACTGGGAAAATAAATCAGACTTTACCCTCAGATACCTTACAGGTCTTCACTGTATCCTCTTTTACAAAAGGTCCCACAGGAATATGTTTAGTGATTGTGTAGGTTTTACCGTTTGTTGTGCAGGACAATTTATTGTTCTTTAGGAAACTCTGAGATTTTCTGCAGGGTGTCTGTAAATCCTGCAGGATGGGATCTTGGCAGTCCTGCAGTACATTTTGTAATGTCTTACCAGTTGGCAGCACATGCTTGGTGTTTCTGTTTGTTTGATTTTTTGTTGTAACTTTCACTACCAGAATCATCAGCACTCTACTGCTGATCTACAAAACTGAAGGAAGAGGTGCACCTTCAGACGCACAAAAGAGCTCTCATCTCACATCTATTGCTATGCATATTTCAAAAAGATTTTTATGTCCCTGCACCAGTGATAGCTGTGGCGGGAGGCATAGTCTTTGGTTCCTCAGTCAGTCCATGTGTCAGTCCCATTCTAGTGAACATGATATCTCAAGAAATTGGGGGAATTTCTTCAAATTTGGCACAAACATCTACTTGAATTTTACGTGTTGATTAGACTTTGGTTGTCAGATGTTATATTCGGTGTGACCTTGTGTACAACTTACTCTTGTGAACGTGATATCTCAAGAAGGCAATGAGGAAATTTCCTCAAATATGGCACAAACCTCCACTTTGACTCAGTGACGAACTGGTCAGATTTTGGTGGTCAAAGGTCCAGGTCACTGTGACCTTGTCTGTCTCATTCTCAAGAATGTGATATCTCAAGAAGGCCTTAAGGGAATTTCATGCGGCACAAATGTCCATCTGAATTTAATTATGTACTCATTAGATTTTGGTTGTCAAAGGTCAAGTTTGGTGTGACCATGTGTTTGTCTCTCGGGGACAAATTTGGCACAAATGTCCACTTGGACTCAAGGATGAACTAATTAGAATTTGGTGGTTAACGGTCAAATGTCAAGGTCACAATGGCCTCACAAATCATGCTTTTTGCCCCAACTAAAGAATTCAATTGCTAATTACGACAAACTGTGTCCAATAGAATAAAATAATGAATTGATGACATTTTATATCCAAAGATCAAAGGTCAACTTCACTTTTACATCTGATTGTTTTGCAAAAACACTTTTTTGGCCATATCTCATTAACAGAGGGGTAGACAATTTGACTGGACTCTTCCTGATACCGTTCCAGGAGGATTCACATCTCCAAAGCAGCTTTAGACTGTTTGAACGGTGACTACGAGGTGGAGGAGGGCCACGGGAAGGACCGCAACGACTTCCTCCGCCGCCACAACATCGAGACGTACCTCATCAAGCAGCCGGAGGACAGTATGCTCACCCTGCCGGAGGACATCATGAAGGAGGCAGCCAGTTCGGCCGACCGCCGGGCCAGCAGCACCACCTTCAATGAAGCATCCTGGAGCCCTGAGCTTCCCTTCGACAACATTGTGGGGAAGCAGAACGTAAGTCCCGCCACTGCTTGAAATTCAAGTCATGTTGTGCACTTTTTCACACTGTGAAAAAAATGTCTTTCTTAACAACAGACTTGTTCTGTAGGTTAGGATTGAAGTGTTATTTCTGTTCTAATGTGATTAAAAATGACAATGACAATAGGAGGACATATGGTGATAAAACCTCACTTCCACCATTTGAAACAAGTAAAATAATCTACACCTGCAGATAGATTCTGTGTCGGCTACAAACCTCACTGCAGGACAAAGTGGTTTCTTAAGATGGACATTTTTGCAGTGCATGGGATCTTCTCAGTTGCCTCTTTGTTTTGTCTTTTTTTGTTTTCCTTGGAATGAGTGGACAGCTAGCTGTGTTACCGTGGTAACGCATCACTGTGTGTCAGCCTGCCTGTTTGTGAGGATGACGAGCTTCTGATTGTGTGGCCCATCTAAACATCCTCCTCATCCCTTCTTCATTTGTCTGCGTTCTCGTCCTGCCTATGAAAACAAATCAGCCCCCAAAGCATCGTGTTGACATTTGGGGTCTTTTGTCTCTGACAGTTGATTTTTGGAGACAGCAGTGTTAAGTTTTTTTGTTTTGTTTTGTTTTTCATGGAGGGAGGGAGCGAGAGGCACATTAATTTTACCTTCCATAAAGTCAGCAGCAAATTTTGAACCCATTCTTTGAAACATTTGGTGATAAAAAAGTCCAGCCTGCGGACTTTTTCTGATTTAGTGTTGTTATACAACAGCATCCAGTGTGAAGAGAAGAATGTGGCTTTGAAAAATAAACTGCAAAGTGGAGACTTAAGCTTCCCAAACCATTTCTAATTAAGAAAATATTTGAATAGCTTCTTTTGTTTTGTTCAACCGACAGCCCAAAATCTAAATATATTTAATTGAATTTAGGGAAAAGCAGTAAATCCTCACATTTGAGAGGAACAAATAAAGAATCGATCAACTCAGAATTTCAGCTCTAATTTTGTGTCCTTGCCCATCTTCACTACAAGGGGAAAGAACTTTTTGAAAATCAGTTTTCAGTCGGTGCCAAAGTCCTGCATTGGCCCATTTTTGAAAACCTGTATCCACCCTTACCCATAAAGCACAGTACTAGCATAAACACATTACCCATCATTATGTCCAAGTCAAAGCCGCAACCATTACTAAAAGTCCCACAACCCTACCCGCACCCATGATTGAACACACACAGGCTACAGTCACTCACATTAAACTCAGTTCTTCACTCTTGAATTACAAATCCAGCAGAGGAGCCTTCTCTTTCACTGGCTGTGCTCGATGCTTGGATGGCGAAAACATTCAATTGCTGCCATGTTAGGAAACATTTTAGCATGCTCCTTCCACCACCTTAAAACCTCCAAAGGATCCTCCTTGGGTGTCTTGAACTCAGTGTAGGCTGCCACCTCATCCTCGGGCTGCAAAGTTAAATGGCTGCTGGACTCCTTTACGTTGGTGACAAATGTGACAACGGGGTCAAAGGTTGAGTCACTGACTTACAAAATAAAAGGAATTGCAGCCTAATAATAGTGATTTAGATGTTAAAGTATTACACATATACTGCACATTATTTTCATTTGTTTTATTCAGAAAAACAAATATATTTTTTTTGTTCAAAATCCACTGCCCACCCACATGTAGTTTATTTTTACCTGTGCCCAGCGTACCTGCGAGTATCCAACCCGGTGCAGGACTCTGGTCATTGCACCTAAAATAACATGCTAGCGTGTCTGCAAGCCTTTCACGGGGTGGTCAAAGTGTCGTAGTCACAAAACAATGCCTATTTCTAGGTTTAAATATGCTTGTCTGAGAATGACTTATAACTAATGTTGATGCATCATAAATTATGTTGGATTACTGTTTCCTAATTTATGAGTTTTTTCGGGGTAGTGGTATAGAAAGATGACACATTCCAGTACTGATTTGGACGTTGATTACCGTGGTGTTTTTGGTGGGTTGAAAACCAGGAGTGCTGCAGCATTTTGGCCCATTTGCAGAGGTTTTATTGTGCAAGCTTGAAGCGCCACCAGACAGGTGTTACAGCATGTAGAAGGAGTTGATAGACATACTCAGACAGATAGGACCAGATCTTTCTGATGTTATGCAGTAGTATTTCACAACCATTCTTTTATTTGTAGAGGCCCTCCACGATAACATCTGCTGCCACATATTGATTTTTTATTTTCAGGGCTGGACTGTTCCTGAGGATTATTCATTGCACTGCAGTCTCTGAATGCAGAGCGTACTTTGGTCACAGACGGAGTAGCAGAACAGCAGGCACAGTCAAAGTGAAACGTAGCCATTCCTTGCGCTGGGTGTAAAAGTTTCTGTCTCTGCAGCAGCTGCTCCTCTCATCCATTGATCTGATCTGATCAGCTCTGGTGCAAGTCGAATCCCAAAAACTTATGCAGAGGAAAAAAAGCATTCATAAGGAGTTCTGCCTGTGCTTTGTTCACGGACCCGTGAAAACCTCAGAATTCAGAGAGGGGTCACAGTTTTCAGCTACCACCACACGTAGATTCTAATTCTGTGGTCAACTCTGTGCAGTGCACAGCAACATTTGTCTGTATGGTATGACTTGCTTTGTCTTTTTTGTGATCTAGAATGTTTTTGTATCAACACGTTGTTTTACTCAACTCATAGATGGATGTGAACCCAGACATGAAGCAAAGCTGGTAATGTTTAGGACGTGCAGTTCTACATGACACAGATCAGGCTCTGGGTCAGCTTTATTTATTCTCTTTCCTGGAATTCATTCCAGACAAACTGTCGGTCCAACATAGCCACAAGTCATTTGCAGACTCGTTAATGGAGGTATCTACTGTCGCCCACGCTTCCACTCACAGATATGTCATCACCCAGGGGGAAGTGGGATAAAGCTGAACACTCAGGCCATATTTGCATCCCCAGATTGGTTTGAGGGGACGAGCTGTTGCGTCCTGCCCTGCTGGCAGACACCTAGCACCATAAAAAAAGTCTCCTGGCTGGGACTCAGTGTTCCTCCTCCAGAACCACCGGGTGACTTTCTACAACCTGCTGCTTCTCCTCCAGGCTGCTTAACTTCGCCACGTCTCATCAGGAACATTTCTAAACCTTCGCTGGAGGAGATCAATTGGCTTCATTTTGGGTGTGTTGGCAGGTCGTTCGTGGGTGGAGATACTTGAGATGTTAATTTAGATATGATGCACAGAAGCAGGACTGAGGACATCCTTGTATATACAGAGATTTGGAGCTGATGTGTGTTTCATTGACACTCCTGCAAAAGTAACTGCAACAATACAATATAATACATGCTTTTGGGGAATATTGATCAGTATCAGTTAATCATAAAGCATAATTAAACACACATACTGCTGTTCACAATGTAAGATGAGACAGCATATTTTCAAGCTCTTGTATACAATGTGACATTTCTCTTCTCTCTCAGCTTGTGACAATTGTGCAGAGCCATCGTTTTTTTGTTTCATCTCCAGCAGCCATGAGCGAACAGTGAACTCTACGTTACCTCTTGTGTATATGAGGAGATGTGCAGCTCCCCTGCCGCTGCGGGCCTGTCAGGAGCTGGTAGCATTTGATGTAGCCGTGCGGTTGGATTCAGAAGAATGTTTTTTTATTTATTTTTTTCTGAAAAGTGCCACTTCTTTGTCTCTGGCACAATAAAAGCCTGTCAGGACAGTCATTTCAAAGATGGTCTCTTTGCATATCAAAGGCTTCTCGGAGGAGTTCTGAAGTGTCTTTTATGTTGTCGCTTGGCTCTGCTCGGAGCTGAACTTCTCCCTCTCCGGTGGTTCCCTGTCCTCCCTTCCTGATAGTCTGATTCAGTTTTCAGCATCAGTGGATTGAGGACAAGGTAGAATAATAGGTGTGTGTGTGTCAGAGGGAGAGGAGTGAGTGAGACAGGGGAGTGTGTATTTTATTTTTGTTCAATTATGCAGGATTGTGTGAAAGCTTACACTGTTGTGTCACTGCTGTAGAATCTAAAAAACTACAGTGTGGTCTGCAACTGTGAGTGACATCCATGCATCAAGAAATTAAAAGTAAAAGCTTACTGATACATCGGCCGAGGGCCCACAGAGAGAGAGAGTTTTATTAGTAAACTGTAACTATAAAATGAAAGGATGTTTTGCTGCCTCTCACAGCAGCTGGAGTCTGAGAAAAAAAAACTTCATTCACTGGGCCGACTGCCGGCAACTTTTAAGGTGGAACGTTAACTTGTAATGTTACATGCATGAGTTGATGACGTGAATCCATCAGCACACCTTAAATTTCACTGTGACAACTTTGACCTTTCCATTAGTTTGTCTTGTCTGTCTTGGATGACACACACTTTTAGTAATGAGTGGATCTTTAAGTGTTTAAAAATATATAATAATGTCGACTGGATTATGAGAACTACAAATTTTCTTATCCTCACTCTGAGAAAAAGAAGTGTCATAGAGCGTTGTTCCTGTGGGCTACAGCAACACTAAACCCCTGAGTTTGCCTGAGAAGGACTAAATGCACAAAGCTGCTATTTTTAAATATCCCATGGAGAAAGACTCTCACTGCAGCCTGTTCTGTTTTGTTCTGAAAATGTCGGCATGCAGCCTCGTTCTGTGGACGATAAACGGAGCAGTGAGTGACAACAACTCCGCCCATGTAAATGAGTACTCTTTGTGGTCGAAACGCTAAACGGACCTTGCGTCTAGGTACCATGTCTGAAAGGTTACTTTTGGTTCCAAAGGTACCGTACTGAAAGTGTTTGGTGGAAATGCGACCTAAGTTGTTTATGGCTAGTTTTAAGGAGACACACACAAACTTGTTTTGAGCAGCGACATAATGTGGAGCTCAGTTCGGTTTCATATCAAGCTTGATCGCTTGATTTAGCAGCTTCTCCTGAATGGAACAAAACAACACCATGTCCCGACAGCAAACAAGCGTCCAGCTATCACGTTACATCATATGAGAGCTCTGTCCACTCTGAATCTGTTAAATATGCACCTCCGCATAGGCTATTT